ATGCTAATGACACATGTATAACGCCCAACAATTAGTTCAGAAGATCCTGTATGGACCCTGGTGCCAGAGGATAAATCTAACAGTTCTGGCCCTCTCCCACGCATGGTAACGCATGGCAATGCATGGTAGATGAGTAAACAAGAAGACAAGTGAATATCCTCAACAAGCATGAACCTGGTTCATATTCAGATGTAAAGAAAGGAAATATGCCAGACTAATGTTGGCATTCTCAGAAAACTGTTATATAGAGCTACTGAACAATAAAAACAATGAGAAATATATTTATATTTTCTCCTCTTCCCAGCATAACTGGAAAAATTAAATGGAGAGATTTTTGATGAAGTAGAAAAAATAAGATCTGACTAGCTTGAAACAGTAAAACTTAGTCAAGCAGAGGATGCTAGTTTGTCTTCCGACTGGTCTTCACAGTTGGAATTCTTCACCTGAGCTTAACTCAGGTGCTGCTGTTGATAATTACATTGGTTGTCCATGAGACCTAATAAAAACTACAAAGCAAACAAACTTGGCATTTATTGCCATTCCATGTCTCGCATGATTTCCCAAGTCAATGCCGCCGTGATAGCTACCTAAAATTCTACATCACACCTCAGTGTGTTCTCCCCATAACAAAATTACTCTTCTTTACTATAGATTTGTTAGTCCTTTTCTTTATGTCCCTCTTGGCAACTGACAATAGATATATACCCTGACCTTCAAACTGCCTACTCAGATCTACTAGTTTAATTAGTGAGCCAATTTTGTCTGGGCCGGGCAAAACAACAGACGTAACATCTGAAGGATCAGAAATATAGTCTTGGTGCTTTAAGCCTAGTATCCTATGTGTCTGAACAACCCCTTGACTTTTCCTTAACAATCTCAGTCTTTGGTCAAACCACACAAAAGTTCAGTTGATGATTAGCTCTTAAACTCCTCTGTCCTGAATATAGGCCTTCTTACTTATATCTCCCTACACTCTAACCCCAAATTTATTAAAATTTTAACCAAGTGTTTTTTTGTTGGATGAATAGCTCTTAAACTCCTCTGTCCTGAATATAGGCCTTCTTACTTATATCTCCCTACACTCTAACCCCAAATTTATTAAAATTTTAACCAAGTGTTTTTTTGTTGTTTTGTTTTGTTTTTTCCTTTTAACACAAATGAATTCCTAATTTTTGGACACAGTTGTCTGTTTTTTCTTGGTCAGAGTAGAAAGTGCATGCTGGTTCTCTATTGTCATGAAACAGAGAAGGAATTCAATGTAATGAATATTAGCAGTCATATTACAGCCTCTACCCTTCTGCCCCAACCACATACCACTACCACAGTTGATGGAGATATGAGGTAGAAGACTGCCAGAGACAGAACAAAGCACAGTAAAGGTGATTTTACTTTTCAGTTACACAGCATCTAGAAGAAGGTGTTTTTATAAATCCCTTCTGAAGCCATCAAGAACATGTTAAATCAGACATCTCAATAAAACATGAAATATAAATCTGTTAAGGTGAGCTGGAACTAACAAAATATACTGTGAAAACAGAATTTAAAATAATAGAAGAATGGGGACTATATGGGAACATTACTTTTCCAGTTTTTTTCCTGTAAACCTAAAACTGCTCAAAACAGTTATTAATTAAAAAAATAACAATAGAATTAGAAACAAAAAACAATCTAGTGGCAATGGAGTTAGTGTTCAATTTTATAGCCTCTGCAACATCAAACAGTATCATCTAGTTTAGCCCAAAGGAATTTCATCCGCTTTTTAAGTCATTGTTTAGATCACTCATCAGATAATCAAAATTTGTATTAGGATATCTTCTATATGGTTGTGGTTGTTTTATATCAGTTGTTTTATATCAGTTACTCTTCCTAATGTTAATGTGACTAGTTACACAGTTACATCCTGTCTCTCCTAATAAAATATAAACAACTTCAGGGTGGAGAAAAATTTGGCATGTAACAGAGTCTTAAAAATAGTAGTGAAAATAATAACATGTTTCACTATTTGAGATTTACAGTTTATCAAACTTTTAAGTGCTCCATATTTGCTATGTAACTACAAAGGTCCCTTGGGGATGAGGTATGAAGGCCTTTCCATCCTTTGTAATTCATACAATTTGCTTGTAGAGATTAGTGTGAATTTTTCCTTTCAGTTTGGGTTTAGCTACTTAAAAATGAAGAATACAGTCTTTTGCAAACAACTGTAGAAAGACATGAGTTAGCCCACAATGAAGGAAATGGTTGGACTGTGGGTGGTATTCCTTCACTCCTTTTCAACCTGACCATACATTCTTAAACGCATCTCTGTAAGAGGACTTTTCCAAATGGAAGGCCTCAAATTCTTAAAATACAAAAATAAATCCCTAAATACTGACTTCTATTTAAAACCTCAAATCAAGATAAGAAATGTCATCCCTGAAGGGCCCAAATGCCAGTCTTTCCATGTCACTGCTATATTGTTATTATCCTACTAAATTCTCCTACTGAAAGGCTTGATGATTAGCTGAGGAAGCAGCAAGGACTTTGCAAGCTTCATCCAGACAATTCCTGTGTTCTGTAGCAAGATCTCAGAAGGTTAAAAGAAGTCCTGCCAACATCCTTATCTGTATTAATACCAACTTAAATTTCTATGTATCCCACACCATGGTTTAAAGAGACCAGGTGTGAACCTTGGAGGCTCATCAGGAGTTGCAGTTCCAGGAACTGAATAATGATCTACCTGTGCACTCTCCCCACTTCAGGCCGTTCTGGAGTTTCAAATGTCACAAGAAACAGCCTCACAGACAGTGGTTACCACATCCTGCTCTACAGCATACCTCTTTGCCTACTCTTAAGTATCAGCCATACCCCGACATGTCTAGCCACTGCCAACAAAGAAATAGGCCAGCTGGGAAAAGAGCCAAAAATGTATTGTTAGAAAGTCTTCAAGGCAGGCACACACTCTTGTTTAGCCTTTAATAAAGTATGTTTGGAGCAATATAAATAATAAATTAAGCATAATAGTCACTTAAGGGCTATTAATACTATTGGAGCTGCGACATTAATAACATTATTATTACATCTTCCAAAACCCAAAGCACAGAAGACCAAGAATGGAATTGGATCGGCTGCCTGCATTTCTAATCTGCATCCTTTCCTGCTATCATTTTCTCATCCCTCAACACAGAACCCCTCTATACCAAGACCTACAAAGATATCCCAACATAATACCCAGCACTGGCTGTCTTCATAACTAGACTACACATTCTGTTTTCCTGCCATTCCCAGCATTTGGTTGTACAAGTGTCCTCTTTGGAAATATTACTAGGCACCTCAAAATACTGAGTAGTTACCAAGATTCTTTTGTGCCTATTCTAAACAGTAATGACATCATCAGTGCACTTATGAACACTAACTAGTCATCATTTCACCATTCAGTTATAACTTTCCAGTTATTAATATTATTCCAGTTATTAATATTAATTTCTAGTTATTAATATTATTCCAGTTATTAATATTAACCTAATTTAATTTTAAACCTCTGTTGAGCAGTTTTGTAATGATTTGAGAGACCTGTCTAGTAACCACCCTTACATTCTGAAATACATTTAAGTTTGTGTTTCATCTTTGAGTGATGGTTCTCTATTTGCATCAGAATCACCTGAAAAACTTGTAAATACCCACATTACTGGACAAGAATTTGCATGTCCAACAAGTTTCCAGGCGATGCTCATATTGATGACCAGGGACCATAACTTTGGGAATGTCAGGCTTTGAGACTGCAATGAAAGGAAAACAATTGCATACACATAGAAAATTTTATATACAGTTTCAAGGGCTTATGGGTGGTCATGTGCTGATGACATCTGTTTTATATTTCTTTCAAATTAATATTTATATGCAGCATTTCCCGATGTGCTGAAGGACAGGGGTGTGTGCAAACACCACCTACACGTGAGAAGGAGCTGCGCACTACTGAAGTCAGTTCTATCCACTGGCTCCCTTCTTCTGTCTCAAGTGTCTCAGGTGCATGTCATCATTCTTCAGCATTTCTGGTCTAATTCTCAGAAACAAAAGACTCGTCACTTAGTATTTGGAAGGCTCTCTAGAATCAAATTCTATATTTTAGGTAAGGAAATGATCTGGTAGAGAAAACATACACATAGTAGGGCATGATTGAAGCCCTGTTTCTGCCTTTCCTAAAGGTCTGATCACTAAGTTTTAATTTTCTCATTTATAAAATGGGCTTTAATAGAGAAATTATTTTTTCCCTTTCAAGGAAAAGGTTATATGAACCCACTATGAGCACTAAAAGGGAAAGTGGTTCTACATTTAAAACCCAATGACTTATATTTGTGATAAAGAATATGTTGGCTAAAGAATGAAATGTCTTAATAAAATTAAAAATAAAATAATTTCTAAGATACCCTTAAATCCAATATTTTGCACTTATAAACACAAACTAGTCATCTTGTTACCATTCACTTGTACTTTCTATATATACACAGAACTATCATTTATTCTCAAACTAAGCATAAACTCTTTAGTAAACAATCAAACCTTCATTTTACCCTCCATCTTGACTGCCATCCCTCAACAATGTCTAACATTCCAATATCTACTAGAAAAGTAAATGATAAAATAATAAAATTATTCTTCTGCCTTCAGTAGGCATGTGTAAATGTTTTGAAGCTCTTTTAAAGACATATTATATTCTTCTGTATTTCCTCAAAATATGGCCAGAAGACATTAAATAGATTAATACAGTCAGTAAGCTCTCTCAGGATGGGGCTATTATGAGAGAGCTCAAGTCTGCATTTTTTGGTTAGTATCTATCAGATACTTTTCGCAATCTATAAGCCCACTTGTTTTCTAACTGAAGAAACTCTTACACTGGATATGAAGAAACTTACATTGGATATATTGTATGAATGCACATAAATGTTTATGAAAATAACCCCCCCATCCCAGATTTTAAGAAGCTATAAAATATCACTGCATCAAGTAATTTCAAGTGAGCATACCTCCTGTAAAAGGCGTGGATCCAGACAGTCGCCATCATCATTAAACATTGACTCCCAGCTCTCCTCCGTAGCAGCACTTCCCTCCATGTGAGAAGTTTCTGCTGCTTTCAGTCCCATGGATGTATCCAGAGACACTGAGTCTATATCAGGAAAGGATACATCAGCTTCTGTATTCTCTGAGTCATCTTCCTCTTTTGTTTTGAACTCTTCAGCAGTTTTTAGTTCATGCACTGGCTCTGTTTTATCACCAGTACAATCTAGATCACTGCCCAAGGCACTGTCTGAAAGTACTTCTGTCCCATTTAACATACTGAGTTCAGAGTCCAAAATACTGTTACAATTACTACCAGCAATCTTCTTTATAGGTAAGGAGGAAGCACAATCTGACAAGCTCTCTATCAACTTTCCTGTTGACTCTGTGAAACCAGATGAAATATTCTGAGCATAAGTGTCTGAGCAAGCAGTCAAGCTGCTGAAATTTTCAGTGTCATTCCCACTTCCAGCTACATTAAGAGGGGCTGTATTTGTTCTCATTTCTATATATTCTGAGAAACTACTTATGTTGCTGCAGGCCTCATCAACTGTTGTAACTGCAACTATACAAGGGCTGCCTGAAGTTACTAGATCAGACATGGCATCTATACTGTCCATCCTACATGCCTTACTGGTAATGTCACCTAAATGCTTAGATTCACTGTCTGTATCTGTTCCATGAGCAAGGAGAGCTCTATCAGAAGGGTCATCCCTTGTACATGACTTACCGGAGGTACTGTCATTCTCATGTTCTCTAATCATGTTTGGATCAAAAATGTCATTTGCCCTTTCTGATTTGCTAACTATTATTTCATGAGAGATGGGACCCATTGTCTCAGAAATGGTATCTATACCGTTCTGACCCACGAAGAAATCTGCACTGTTGGGTTTTTCAACAACATTCTCAGCTTCAAAGTCTACAGAATTTGGGTCAGTGACAGGATCTGGACTTCCAGAAACAAAAAGAGTGGCGATGTCTCCATTGCTGAGCTTCAACATTCCATCTGATGTCTGCAGGTCTTCTTGAACAATTCTAGAATCAGAGCGTAGTTCAACTGGTACAGTTTTTATTAATACAGAACTAAAAACTTCAGGAAACTGAGGTAGTATCTCAACAACTTTGGCATCAGTTTCAATTTTGCTTTTCAAATCTCTATCTTCAAATATTTCCTCCTCTAATTTAAGCCTGCTGAAATCACAGGATTCCACATTTTGGAATGGCTGGTTGAGAATGTGAGTCTCACTAATTTCTGGACAATACTGTGATAAAAGCAACTTCTCATGTGCTGTCACATCTTTGGTTTCAATCTCCAAACACTCCGCCTTCTGTGGTTTAAAATGTCTTTGTAAAGGTGTACTTGGTATCTCAGGATCTCGGACAATTTGCTGATGTCCTTGGGATAATATATTTTTGGATTCCGTGATTTCCCTCTTAGCACAAACCCTATCTTTACTCCTTTCTTTAAGACAGTTGTCTTTTCTTAATTTTGTTAAAGATTTTCTTCCTTCCTTATGTTTGTGTTCCTTTTTATCAGGATTAGTATTTAGTCTTTGAGTCTCAGGTTTGTCACTAAAGATCTCCTTTTGGGAGAATCCACCTTCTTCTTGGTCTTCTTTTCCTACAGAGTTAGGTGGATCCCAGCTTTTTCCCTCATGGCCTGACCTGAGGAGTGCCACACCCCTTCGAGCTTTAGGTACATAAAGTGCCATGTCAGGCCTTCTGGCTCGAACTCTGCATCTCTCAGATGCTTGCTGCATGACACCAACTCAGTCTGCAAGAAAAAGAAAAGAATGACTTAATTATCAGAAACTAATTGCAATGTATTGAACCAAAAGATTTTTTTAAAAGACTAGGTAGAGGGCTTACTAATTCATCCTATAGAAACCCTGAAGAAAGTAAAACCTGCCATAAAATAATTAATGTGATCAGGTAAACAACATAGGAAAGTAAATTCCAAAAAACTCACAAGTTCATGAATTTAACCATGCTTATATCCTCTTTCTTCACATTGTCAAAATCCCTTATGCCTTCTCTTGCAAGTAACTTTGTTTTAGGCTAAATAAAAAACAGGTGAATTATAATAGTTATTGCCAGCTATCAAGTATTCATAAAATATAACCGTCTCCATATTCTAGTTCAGAATTTACACTGAAAAGTCAGAAACACTTGTTCAGCATAAATATATGCACATATAAATATGTTTTAAGAGTATCTTGAATGGTACCACTATCTGAACATGGGCTAAAAAATGAGATGAATCAGGGATTTCCTAGAAAATGTTGCTTTGAACTATGATTTTTTAAGGAAAGTAAAAGGGAGTGGAAAAGAAAAAGGCAACTATATTTTTCTATTAATACTAGTTAATCAAAGACCAATTAAAAATTCACAATGCTTCCAACAGGAATAAAAAAAAAGTCTAGATAGAATGAAGGAGGACAGAGACCAAAAAAAAAAACCAAAAAACTGATGAGCCAAATCACATCAGTAACTTTGACACCCTATATCATTGCTGGTCAATGGAATTTAACAAGGTAAAAAATACTAACAAGGATTAAATAAACCTTACTTACTATCTTTAAAATACTAGGAAATACACTAAGCAATTCATGTTGAATTATTCTTCTAATCTTCAAAAGAATATTGTGAAGCAGGTATTGGTTTACTCAGAGGTGTTAAGCATAGCAAAGGAACACTTGTATACACTCCAATGTACCTGCTGGTGGCGTTTCATTGCATATATTTCAAAAGAGATAATAAAAGGAAAAGGAAGGTCAATTAATCCTATCAACTTTATTCTAGATCCCTAAAATTTTACATGGTCCAGTATACTTTCCTTAATGAAGTTCTGTTCTTATAACATGTAGGCCATTTCATTTCAGCCCATCTACCATGACTAGATCATCAAGTGTCCTCAAGTGAATTTTTGTATCTCTCTCTCTTTTTTAATGTCTTATTATTCAGTCTACCACTTTTCTTCAATCTTTTCACTCATGGAAGAAAATGACTTTAAAATTCAGTGAGGTTAAGATTTTTTTTAAAGTCTAATGTTCAAAGACAAAAGCACTAAAGTATATTGCATTAGAAAGGATATCACAGACATAATGTATCAGGATCTTTGCAAAACATCTAAAAATATATATTATGAAGAACTTACGTATCTAGGATGGTAAAATGTTGGTTATCTCACACAACTAGTGAGTGGACTCATAAAACTGATTACAGATAAAGTAGTAACAGGTGGAGGCACCTAAAGGCGCTATTTGATAGTGTCTCTACAACTCTTTAAAATTCATTTTTAAAACAATAATTTGGATGCAGATGATAAACACAGAGCTTATCAAGTCTGCAAGTGATAGAACTCAACAGGATTAATATATCTTTCTTTCCATTAACTTTAAGTAAAAAAATTCTTCAAAGCCCATCAGGAGAGGGTACAATCCTCTCAGATTGAAGTCTTTCGGAACTTAACTCAGTTTCTTACTCTACCTCTCCAGACACAGGAAATCAAATGTCCTTATAATACAATAATTATTCACAATGTGCCTTGATCACCTATAAAATTAACTCTACTTGATATTGACATCCATGTATCCTGAAATGTTGCAAAAATCCAACAATACAAAGTTAACACAATGCAACTCAATTGTAAACTAAAATATAAATCTTGAAAAGAATGCAAGATTTCACGAAGTCTATGAAAATATATTAAAGAGAGAAATCATTTCAGTGAAAGCTTTGGGGACTGAAGATCTAGCTGAATCAAACCAGTGAGCAACTAAAGAAGGGAAAATCCAACAAAGATGATGACAGAATAGGAATCATGAAAGAAAATGTCAAGGGATTAAGAAAAATCCCTTGAGAAACTGCTAAAGAGCTCAATAGTTTTGGTAAAACTGATGCACCAGTCTAGTCTATATGATAAATGCTAAGAAAACCAAACAAAGTGAAGAACAGTATCAAGACAATCACACCATCTTTATGGAAAAACTGTGCCAACAAAGTATATCATTGTAAGCTTTGTTAATTCTGAGAACATACATAGCTGTGATTATAATTGAAATTTTGTTAAGTATGTGGTAAAACAAACATTTCCATCTATGAAAACTGTCCCTAAATTTTTTACTGGGGGCCTCTGTGGTAGAGCAAACAGGTTAAAGCTCAGCACTACGGAACTAGCTGCAGCTTCAGCAGGACTGTGATCCCAGGTTGGGGAGCTGATCTCTCCTGTCTCCCCACTGCTCCCTTCAGCAGTGTACTTCATCCATCTGCTCCCCAGTCTGTCTCCTGTGAAACCTCTCACTGCCCCTGCACTTCTGGCTGGTATGCCAGTTCTGAATGAATAAATAAATAAATCTTAAAAAAAAAACTTTTTATTAATGACTCAAACTTTAGTTTCCATTTTATGTAGACCCACTTCAAAAGGTGTTCTCCAAGTACCAATTTTTTTCACTTAACAAGTTATATAAATGCATATTACTAAGGAGAAAAAAGGTCACTATCTAAACTGTTAATGGCGGTTACAACTGGGACTAAGAACTTGCCATATACTTAATGTCACAAGAACACAGTCTGCTAATGTTAATGCTTGTTGTGCTTGTTTCAGATTTTCTACTTTTAGAAATACACCAAAGCTAAGAAATCAATTAAAGCATAAATATATACAGTATGTCTGTAACATTTTAATATACCATTATTTCATTATAATCAAAAACTACATAAAGCACTAAAAGTCCATTTTTTTTCATAAATCAGAAAAGACTGATTAGACAATATTTCAAGGTGATAAGTTATCCTCAACTAATTTAGAAGCATTTTTTCTAATTTAACTCATCCTCCTGAAAACAAGGCTTTTTTTTTTTTTTAAAGATTTATTTATTCATACAGAACTGAGGTACAAGCCAGAGATGCGGAGGGTGAGAGGATTCACCAGGGACGGAGTGGGGAGCAGAACAGGCAGATCCACGAAGTACACTGCTGAGGGGAGCAGTGGGCGGGTCAGGAGAGGTCTGCCACGCCATGTGGTCACCTCCGGGGCAGGCTGGGATCGAACTCATGCTCATGCGAAAGTGGCTTAAGCTTCTTAGTTCAGTGCTTTAACCCGCTGCGCCACCAGGGAGGGCCCAACAAGGGTTTTTTTATAGCTTAAAAATCTTTTTTTTTTTTTTTGCATGTTAGTAAGACAATTTATTTTCTTTTACTATTACTATTAGGCATTCTTTATTCCCATGGGTCTACTTATAAACTTGTATAACCAAGCAATATCAACACCCTTTCACTTAGCAGCAAATTTGTAAAGAAAGAAAAATACAAGTAAACTGAAAGTTTATAACAATGCAGTGCGCAATATTAAGTAACACAAGTAAATGAATAGATTTCTGAGCACTAAGATAATTGAGTATTTTTAAATTCTATTCATCTTCTCAAAAAGATTCACTGGTTTTTCCTCCCCAATTTCATGCTTTGGTGAATAGTATCACTGTCAATCCAGTTGTCTAAGCCAGAAACCTGGAGGTCATTATCCCTGACATTTCAATCAATTACCAAGCCCTACTCATTCTACATTGCTTCCAGTTATTTTCTAAAATACTAATCAGATTTGTTCATTTCCCTATTGAAAATTCTTCAGTGGCTCTGATTCACCTGCAAACTCTGGAGGGTGGGGAAGTTTAATAAAGGCATATTTACAATATTTTTTAAATCTTGAAACCAAAATTTAATAACTGTAAGATTAAAAATTCTATTAATACCTACTTTGTCCTAATCTTTATTAGAAACACAAGGCAATATTTAAGTAGAGAATGATATTCTGAATAGCTTGATCAGTCACCTCAGGACAGTTAAGGCACCTTAGGCTTCAGTATGTATACATAAATCAAGCTCACATATTCAATGACTTTTTCAAAAGTTCTTTTTGCCTTAGAAGATAAGAATTGCAGAAAGCTTCTACAACATCAGTTCTACAACATCAGTTCTTCAGTCATATAAATTCAATTAGCCTAATAAACACAAACTTTAAACTGCTTCTTTAGCAATACTCAGTATGTATCTTTTGTAGTAGTGATCTTGTAAAAGTAGCACTTATTATTCATTTATACAGTTTTGCTTTTTAATTTAGATAGCATTGGTTTGCCACATTGTATGTGAGAGATATAGATCACCCTTTCAGATCTTACCTTACCACAACCACCAGAAAGACACCCACACTCCTCCATCATGGTCCACTGTGCTCTCAACTCAATAGCCTCAACTATAGATTCTACAAATTTCGAGGGCTTGTTGGTTTGGCTTTATCTTATCCTTTCTTTTGTTTTTCTATATCCTACATACATATAAGAGAAACTACCGAGTAGTTGTCATTCTCCTTCTGACTTACTTTGCTGAGAATAATCAACTCAGGTTTCAATTCATGTTGTCACAAATGGCAAGAGTTTCATCTTTTTCAACATATAAGTAGTATTCCATTATATATACACACCACATCTTCTGAATCTACTCATCTGCCTTTGGGCACTTAACATTGTTTCTGTAGCTTAGCTATTATAAAAAGTACTGTAATGAACATAGAAGTTTTTATAGACTGCGCAGTATTCTGATGATGAAACTAGATTGAGAGTTTTTTCTTGGTCACTATGTACTACCATCTGAAGAATGTGATCTCCAACACAGAAAATGATATTTCTTTAAACAATTTTCTCAGTTAAAGACTTTAGATAGTTCTAAGGTCTATAATAGAGAGGAAAGCTACTTTTAAGAAAAAAATTTGAGTATAAA